AACCAACAGGCGATGCGTACAGGCTTTGTGCCATCGCTGTGTACCCCAGCAGCACCCCCGACCCCCCAGAAACCCCCCTTATGGAGATGCCCCACAGCACTGAGCTGCTGTTGCCAGGGGTTGCTGGAGAGGCTGCTCCTGCAGGAAAGCAATTTTTCCTCCACTCATTGAAAAATACTCTTTAATTGACCTTATTATTAAATGAACTTCTCCTAATGATGTTTCTATGGGGACAAAAAAGCAAATATTTGCAGGAGAGCTAAACCTCCTCTATTAGCTATGGCTGGGATTAAAATCATTCGCAGGCTGCCTTTAGATACTGTAAATGGTGACTTCCAGCGTAGTTTTCTTCTCAGCGAAGAGGCATACAGAGCTGCTCCAGACACAGCCCTGGGTTTTCTCCTCCGGATATTTCCATGGAGCCTTCATTTATTCATCGCCCTTCTGTCTCTCACAACCCAAGATCCCTCTGCTCTGCGAACACCTTTCTTTCAAATAGAAAAGAATAACGCAGAGAACCAAACCGAACAGACGTCTCCCCCCGGGACAGACACAAAGACACCCCCCCCCCCCCTCCTTCCCAGACAGACGCACAGACCCCCCCCTTAACAGCATTCAGCCTCTGTAGTATCCCCAGGGCAGTGTCCAGTTTCTCACTGCTGTGTCAGAGCAAAGCATGTGGCACCGCCACCTCGGTGCTTTTCCTTCCCAACTCTTTCTCTCCCCCCTCTGCCACGCTGCTTTTCCATCTCTTGGCCATGCTGCAGCTGGTTGCTCGCTTTCCCCCAGTACCCCCATTTTATTTTGTTATACACTGGTTACAGAGTTTTGTGTGTCCCTGCAGGGCGGCTCGGGGCCACAGATGCATCTGGGGCTCCGCGTGTCTGTGCACTCCGCAAAAAGGCGACGTTTGTCCGTCCTCTCCCCACATGCAGAATCCAGGGCAGAGCGATGTGGAGCTCAATGAGAAACTGCATGAATAAACACGAATAGAAAGTTGTGCTCAGCTAACCGAGGAAATCAGAGCAATACCAGGGCATCAACGTCCGCATTTCTTTTCACGTCGGCTGGGGCAGTAACCTCAGCCGGGCACGCTAAACACGAAGGGCAGCGGGCAAGCAGGCTGAGGGCAGCTCTCACTGCCCAGCTATAGGAGCTGCCCCGGGCCAGTGCCGCAGCCCCCAGTGGCCCCGCTGCCGTCGTGCCGCGGCCATCTGCCTCCCGTCCCGGGGCCCGCGCCCCCGTATCGATCCCACGCGCTTCAGCCTCCGAGTTAATTTCATAGCCATCAAGGGCCGGGCTTGTAGCAGGCAATAAAGTGATGCCGGAGAGCGACCGTCGATAAGGCTCGGCCGGGCGGGAGGGCAGAGGCGGCCCTCCACTTTGGTGTGTCCCGATAGGCCCTATCTTCCCGGGGCAGACGGACTTAGCGGGTGAGGAGGCTTAAACGCGGCTTTCCATAGATTTACACCTCAATCAGCCATTCAGGTTTTCAATGCAAATCCGAAAACAACCTCGTTTCTCCCTCCCGGCGCCCTGCACGGAGCCGCGCTCCTGTATCCCGACTCGCGCGGGGCCCTCGTTGCCCCCCTGTAGCCCCCACGTGTGTCCGGGCCCCCCAGAAGTTCCCATCGCATGCAACGGCCCGCAGTCTCCAGTCCCGGTCACTCAGCTGTGGGTTGAGTGTCCGGCAACAGTGGTCGCTTGTTTTCTCCCTTTTTTGAGGAGGAGGGGGGTAGGGAGAAATGGGGGACCCCTGCTACTAGAGCTCTTCGAGGGAAGCTGGAGCCCCAAAGCAGTGCTTGAAGGCGATCTCTGGGGTCCCCCAGGTGCCCCCGCACCACGGGGTGAGCTTTTGGGAGCTGAACAGGAGGAAGAAAAATCCCCAAATGTCAGCGTAAGGCTCAGTCCTGAGGTTGCTGCTGAGGCTCGACGCCTACAGCTCCGAGACGTGGAAACGGGGGAAGGGGAAGTAAAACATCCCAAACTTATACGGCTCTGAAACCTCTCAGATATTAAATCCCGTTAAAATAAAGCGGGACGAGAACTGCTATCAGTGATGAGAATAAATATTCTGGTTAAAAAACAGAACAGCATCAGTGCAGACGGAACTCCCAACGGCACCCGGAGGTGACTGTGAGCCGAGATTTTCCCATCTAAGGCCTGTCTGCTGCCAGATGGAAAGCAGAGCAGCCCGGGCCTGAACGCTGGTGTCGGCAATGGGGGCTCTCATCCTATCCCGGGACATTTTTCTCCCCTCTAAATGTTGCGAAAGGGAGGGCACCAAGGCCCCTCTCTCACATCGGCGGCTCACGGAAGAGCCATTGTTCTCCCCTTTTGCAGCAACTCCCGTTTATCACGGCCTTGCACAGCCGGGCGTTATTTCCTCACGAACTGCCAGAGCCGCCCGGAGCAGTGGGACAATGTCGCTGAGAGATCCCCGAAGGGGCGGGCGTCGCAGGCACTGCCTCAGGGCCGAGCCGGGCCGCGGCACCGGAGAGGCAACAGCGGGGGCAGCCGGAGGAGGACATCCCTCCCACCGCGGAGCTCCGAGGGCACGGCCCCGTCGCACTCGCTGCGAGGGCTCCGCGCAGACACGCGCAGCACTTCCCCGGGGGCACGGAAGGTGGAGGGAAGTATTTACATTGCAGCTTATTCCTTGGCGGCCTCCATCAGGGGTTCGTTTTGAGCTCTCGCACCCCGGGCAGTTTCTCCGGTCGCTTCTTAGGGCGGTGGGATACGTGGAGAAGCCCTGCGGTTTTCGATAACCCTGCCTTGAGCTGCCCCGAAAGAGGCGGAGGGAGGAAGGGAAAAGGGCTCGGGCAGCACAAAAGTGCATCGGAAGTACGAATTAGTTTGGAAACGGTCAAGAAATTCCGGGCACGTTTCTCCCTAAATCCCCGGGAAGTTTCAAAATTATGTTTTCAAGTAAAAACAGGTTTAGAATTTACCTCTCCTTAATTCACGGTGGAAAAATCTGCCCAGGGCAAAGCAAAAGTTTAGTGGGAAAAAAAAAAAAAAAAAAAAAAAAAGAAAGAAAGAAAGAAAAAAAG